ATGTCGCGGCCACCCAGGCTTCAGTTTCGCCCTCGCTCGTGACCTACTCGCGTCATCGCAACCGCAGGCGAGATCGTGGTGATGTACTTGGGTGAACTCTCGCTGGATTTGGGTCAAGTGGAGGCGCTGCTGCCGCGTCGCCTCGAGGTGTTCGTGGTACGCGGCCTTTTGGGCCACCCTGTCGAGGGCCAGCTGCGCAGCCGCCGCCTTCTTGCGTCTACGCCCAGCCGTTCACAGACCAACGCGAGATGGGAACTGTACTTTTCACGCTTGAGCTCGTCTTGGGCCTTGACGTGGAGTCGGATCGCGTGCTCGAACGACGCGTGCTTGATCGGGTCGAAGACCGTCTTGGGCAGTCGGCCGGGTACGTTGTGGATGGGCACAACGCCGCCAGGTGCATAGGGCCGACACGACACGGTGCCGGACCGATGCGCGCGTGCGATCGCTGTCTACCAGATTATGTGTCAGGGCGACGGCAGAAAGGACGGAAAAAGTGCCTTGAGTTGGTAGAGCAGCTTGGTGGCCGCGCCGCTCGCTTCGTTCATGACGCTCGACGCCAAGATCGGGTCCAAGCGGATGCCCAGCGCCCGCATCGAAGGCTCGAGGAGGCAAAAGTTGACAATCTTTGCATCGGCCGAGTCGCTCGGTACAAAGTCGCCAAAGTTGTGCTGCTGGTTGGCCTTGAAGAGCACTTCGCCCAAGAGATACCCGCTCGCAAACGTCGCCTCGAACTCGGTCACGACCACCGAGAGCTGGACCTCGTCGTTGAGCCAGCGCACGAGCAGCTCCGACATCCGCGACGCTTCGGCGCGATCTTGGCGTGACACCCAATGCGTGACACCGGGGTAGGGCAAACTGCGCGTGCGTACCCCGGGGCACAAAAAGGGACCCTTCCGAAACAACTAGGACTAAAGTAGCTCCTGCTCAATGTACCGGGAGTACTTTTGATTGCAAGGTTGTCCACTACGACAGAGTGGACGCTAAAGCGCCAACTCGTGGCGAGAGCCATTAGCCACGTACACCGGGTACGAGAGTGATGGCAACCGTACTGTACTATGTACAGTAGCCAGATGAAGCGTCGAGAACGGAAATGTGGGTGGACGTTGAGGGCAACGTCTTCGCCTCGCTGGCTTGGGCGAGAGAGACTGCGCGCAGTATTGCGCACGTGTACGTTGCATCGTATGCAACGTACACCTCGTGAGCTAGGAGCCAGCCCACTTTGCACCAGCCGCGCTGTCGTCGCTTCAACTTATACCGTAGCCTACAGCGTGTACTTGGCGGCATCTGTAGGAAGCTCTTTGCAGTGGGCTCAGGCGCTGCCAGTAGCGGAGTTGCATTCAAGCCTGTACAAGTGTAAGAGCTTCCTCGAGGACGTCTAGCGCTCTTTGGACGGCCACATCCATCCCCGGGCCCCGGGCCCGCCATTTTCCTCAACAAAGTTTCTCCAATATCTCTCAAAGTCTACTTTTATTTCAATACTGTCTCACAGTACTTGTCTGCACGCTTCGATGAGCGTGTTTTCTAAGGATAGACGCAGTCTACCTTGCATTTGCACATCTTCTTGGAGAGAAGGATCGATGATCCAGCGCTCTTACTGCTTTCTGCTTTCCACCGCTGCGGTAGGATTATGGTAGAGAGACGCTAATGAGAAAGATCGACGGTGCATGTCTATGCCCGTATCTTGAATCTCGCCTCGAGCCAATCAGCGCGCAGCGTCGACTTGGTGGTTTGGCGCAAGACGTCATTTCCGCACTCGCACCATGTTCCTGCGTCGCGCTGCCGCTGCGATCCGCCGCCCGGCGCCTTCGTCGTTCCGCCGGAGCTTCGCCAGCCTCCCGAACGACCGCATCCGCAACGTGGCCATCGTGGCCCACGTCGATCACGGCAAGACGACGCTGGTCGACCAGCTCCTCAAGCATGGCGGTAACTCGATCTCGGAGGAGCGCGTGATGGACTCGATCGACCTCGAGCGCGAGCGCGGTATCACCATTATGTCCAAGTGCACGCGCGTCGAGTACGAAGGCAAGGTGCTCAACATCGTCGACACGCCGGGCCACGCGGACTTTGGCGGCGAAGTCGAGCGCATTCTGAGCATGGTCGAACGGCGTCGTCCTCGTCGTGGACGCGACCGAAGGGCCCATGCGCAGACCAAGTTTGTTTTGACCAAGGCGCTCAA